GTGGCAGATGGGGGGGCAGGAGTCGCCTGATGAGGGGCAGGAGACGCCTGATGAGGGGCAGGAGACGCCTGATGAGTGGGCAGGAGTCGCCTGATGAGGGGCAGGAGTCGCCTGATGAGTGGGCAGTAGTTGCCTGATGAGGGGCAGGAGTCGCCTGATGAGTGGCAGGAGTCACCTGATGAGTGGGCAGTAGTCGCCTGATGGGCAGGAGTCGCCTGATGAGGGGCAGGAGTCGCCTGATGAGGGGCAGGAGTCGCCTGATGAGGGGCAGTAGTTGCCAGTGATGCGATCAGAGCAGGAAACACATCATGAACATAACTGAAGAGAGTGACATCATGAAGGTGAGAGGATAAAGAAGAAGAAGAAGGCGAGAGGATGAGGAGCAGCCAGTGTTCTCTCTCTCAGATCTGAGACAGGTCCACATTCATATTTTATTGAAGTTGTCTGGTTGTTTTTGCTTCAGTGGAGCAGAATGCTTCCTGTGTGAACAAACAGAGTCCAGCAGAGTCCAGCAGATCCACCTCCTCACCTTCACACCAGGTACACCTGACAGGTAACCTGTCAGCCAACAACACTGATGCTGTGATGGACAGGAGGAGAGGAGGTAGTGAGAGAGGACATAATAAACAAAAACAGGTGGAAGAGGACAGAAAAGGAAATGGACTGCAGGCAGCTGAAGGAAAGAAGGAAGCAGTGCTGCGGACATAAAGGGATGCAGGAGGAGAGGAAGAGGAGGAAATAGGAAGGTGGAAGTGAAGGGAACAAAAAAGGGACATGAAGGAATCATGAGATAGTGATGTGGAGGCGGGTGATGTTCGAGAAGGAAAGAAAGGATGGAGTGGAGGAGGAAAGGGAAGGAGACGACAGTGAAGGAAAAGAAGGCAGAGAGGTGAAGGAGGAAAATGGAATGACATAAGGAGGCATTGAAGGAAGGATATAAGTGGTGAGGCAAGGAGAGAAGTGGAAAGATGAAGTGCACTGCTGTGTCCTCCTGAAGGTGTGGATGTGGGTCGGCCTTGGTTTGTCTCTTGGAGGACACACACACACACACACGCTCAGTGTCCATGTTTTATTCATGAGTTGGACAGAGGAGACGTCTCCGTGTGTCCTTGACTCGTCCTCGGTGTCTCATGTCATCTTACTGTGAACAGCTCTGAGATCAGAGGGGGGGGGGTTCTGGGAAATCTGTCTGTCCCGTCCGACCAGCTGCCCACAATGCATCTGGACTGATATCATCTGTGTTTGTGTTCGGAAATACCAAACCATTCTGATAATTACACTTCCTGTTGTCCTCCTGCTCAGACAGGAAGTCCTGATCCCTGAGACGTGTCTCACAGGAGATGAGGGGACAGCTGGTCCACCTGTAGTCCCCCCCAAGCACACGCACACACACATACACACGCGCATGTTACTCAGGACATGTCTGTCTCTTTTTTACTTCCTGTTTCCTGTGAGGGAAAACCTGTTGGTACGAGTGTGTGTGTGTGTGTGTGTGTGTGTGTGTGTGAGAGTGTGTGTGTGTATGTGTGTGTGTGTGAGTGTGTGTGTGGGATTACATGGCACAGGGGTTTATCTCCGCTCAGAGAGGATTATGGGTAGGATGAGCTGGTGACTCTGCTGCTCTCTGATTGGCTGATGTCAGCCCCTCCCCCTGCTGACAGCACAGTGAATGGTGTTCATACTGCAGCAGGTGTTTGAGCACCTCCAAACAGTGGCTGGGAGTTGAAAGGCATTCTGGGACATGTAGGACAGCAGCAGCAAGACAGGTTCACGTCAGTCACTGGAAGCTGAGTCATTAATGTGAGAAGACTTTTACTTTGAAACTCTGATCAACTTCCTGTGAGTGAAGCTCCATCAATCAGCTGTCGATCAGAGACAGACAGACAGACAGACAGACACACACACACACACACACACACACAAACACACACAATCACAGTGTCTGTCTGTCAGGAGGAACGACTCGGCAAAGCGTCCAGCTGACAACCTGAACAACACGCTCAGCTCCAACTGAAGGTCAAACTGTAGCAGATGGCATGCTGGGAAATCCACCGACTGCACCGGGAATACACAGAAAACTCTGTGTGTGTGTGTGTGTGTGTGTGTGTGTTTGTCTGTCTGTCTGTGTGTGAGCAGCCTGTTCATTAAAATGAAAGCAACTCTGTTAATTCTGTTGTTCAGAGGAGCCACAGCAGTGACTCTCAGTCCTTTTACCACACACACACACACACACACACACACACACACACACACACACCTGTAAACACACCTGCACATGTCTCTACCTCTCAGCCATTTACTTCACTTCATCTCTTTCAGAGAACTTTAGCCTTTCAGCTTGTTTCAGTCTTCAGGCTAACTCTTTTAGCATTTAGCCTGTTAGCTTGTTTATGTTAACTGTGTCCCTTGGCCCATTAGTTGTTCTGCCTTAGCCATGTGTGTTTTAGCCTGTTAGCGTGTTTGTGACAAGAAAAGCTAAGTTAGTGTAACTTTAATGTTTGTTTATCTATTTAATCATGACACAGTAAACACAAAGACGATGATGATGATGGTGATGATGATGGTGATGATAATGGTGATGATAATGGTGTCTTCATACCAGGTGAGGGGGCGGGGTCTCTCACCTGACATGTGATAGCGACTCTTCACTGTAACAAGTCAGAGATCAGTGAGTGTGTCCCGTTAGCTTCTCTCTCAGATGACGCTAATGCGCAGCTGTGGAGGTCTGATCAGGCTGCTGCGGTCTGCCTGCAGACGACACTCAGGGCGAAGAGTTCCCACTGTGTCTTGACTGGTGTTTATTTAAAGGGTCACTTCACCTGTGACAGATGGACTGACTGACAGCAGGTGTGCTCAGGTGTTGATGTCTCTGTGGCCATCTTGTGTTTCAGGTTGAGTCTCAGAGGAAGACTGAGTGTGAGGACGGACACCGCAGAGACGATGAAGAGTTTCCTGTGTTGACATATGAGGTGAGAATGAACACCGAATTTTAAATAGTTTATTTATCATCTGTGTGTGTGTGTGTGTCTTGTCTTGTCTTGTGTTGTACATGTTGTACAAAGTGTGGCTGTGCACTTCCTTCCTGTTGATTGCACACACAGACTCCACCTGAGACTGATGACAGAGGTCGGAGGTCAGATGGAGATCACAGCTGGTGGTCCTCCTCACTTCTTCTTCTTCTCTGCTTTCTCTGTTTCCCCCTCCCCCCAGCTGCCCCCCCCCCCCCCTTGTTACCATGGCAACAGATTAAAGTGTGAGCTGGATGATGATGATGTGGTGCGTTCTGTCCTCGGGCTGCAGTCTGTGATCATAAACGTGCTCTTCTTCTGTGGTAATGATTCTGTGTGTGTGTGTGTGTGTGTGTGTGTGTGTGTTTCAGGTGTTTCAGTGGATGAAGTCAGCTGTGGAGAAGAGAAGCTCACCTTTCAGGTACAGACACCTCAGCTCATCACATCAGCAGCATCAGCAATGTGGTAACTGAAATGTAATAGAAGTGTTTCTGCTCAGGAAGAAAAGAGGAGAGACAGGAAAAGGGAAAGATGGGAAAGAAGAAGAGAAGGACAGAAGGGAGTCAGGAAGAACATAGAGAGTGAAAGAAAGAGGGAAAGACAATGAAAGGAAGGAAAGATGGGAAAGAAGACAGGAGGGGAGGGAGGGAGGAAAAAAGGATGGAAATATGCAAAATAAGAGGGGAGAAAGAAAGAAGGGGTAGGGTGGGAGGAAGAGGACAGGAAGAAAGCAAGAGATAAACACAAGAAAGGGAGGAAGGAAGAAGTAAAGGAAATAAAGTAAGAGAAAGAAAGAAAGAAAGAAAGAAAGAAAGGAGGGAGGAAGAGGAGAAGAAGGAGAGCAGAGTGGTGAACACGATGAAACGAGTGAATGAGGGCAGAAAGAAAAGAATGAATAATAGAAAAGAGGAAACATAAGAAGGAAGCAGGACACAACCAAGGGAACAAAGGAGAGGAGATGATGAGAGCTGATTGGATCGCCAGACAGTCCTCACAAATACAGTCAGATTGTGTCTGTGTGTGTCTGTGTGTGTGTGTGTGTGTGTGAGCGTTGCATGAGAGCAGAGCATGCTGGGTAAAAAAGTTAAGGGCAGATTGAATGTAAAATTCAGGAGCTGGAGTCAGACGAGATGAAGACGCTCTGCGGCTTCATCCTCCTCTTCTTTACCTGAGACTCTCACACCTGTCGCTTCCTTCTTCTTCTTCTCTGATCAGACCGAGTGTGGATTCATTCACCGCAGAATGTAGTCCCTCCTGTTTGTTAGATACAAACCGACCAATGAGCTCAGAGCTGAGAGACACAGACAGGAAGTGGGACAGGTCAGAGGTACGGATCGACATGTCGTCAGAGACGAGATTTAAAGACACTGAAAACTTTATTAAAACAACTCGAAACTACAAAAACTCTTGAGACACAACTTTGACTCCCAGGGTGCATTTCAGCCAATCACAGCAAAGGCAGCAAGATGGAGAAAGGAGGAAGGAAGAAAGAAGGAGGTGTCACAGAAAGAGAAAGGAAAGGAAGCAAGCAGAAGGTTAGACATGAGGAAGAGAGGAAGGAAGAATGGAAAAGGATAGATGAAAAGAAAAAGGAAATAAGAGAAGGAAGGAGAAGAAAAGAGAAAAAAATTTAGGAAGTAAGAAATAAGGAGTGGAGAGAAAGAAAAATAGCAAGAGGAAAAGAAGGGAAGGAAAGGAAGAAAGAAGGAAGTGTGGAGGGAAGAAAGAAAGCAAGAGGAAAGATGGAAGAAGGCAACTAAGAAAGAAGAGCAGGTAAGGAAATGAGGAAGTAGGAAAGTAGGAAGGGTGGAAAGAAAGGAAAATGAAGAAAGCAAGCAGGAGAGAAAGAAGGGAAGGAAAAAGAATGATAGGAAAGAATGAACGATGGAAGAAAGGAAGAAAGAAGGGAAAGGAAGGAAAGCAAGCAGTAAAAGGGGAGAAGGAAAGGAGGAAGGAAGAAGGTGTGTAAGTAAAAGAGAAAAAAATGAAAGGAAGGGAATCAAAAAGGAAAGATGGGAAAGGAGGAGGGAAGGAAGAAAGAAGTGCAGAAGGAAGACAAAAAGGAAGGAAAAGGAAAGAGAAGGGAAAAAATTACAGACGGGAAAAGGAAAGGAAGAAAGAAGGCAAGAGAGAGAAACAGGAGTTAAGGAAGAAAGGATAAGGAAAGATGGGAATAAGGGAAATAAGGAAGGAAGCTTTAAATGCTAACAGTTAGCTGAAGCTAACAATGACAGTTTGTAGAAACAGTCAGCTGTTTACATCACTCACACTCTGCCTTTGTCTCCATAGCAACAACCACTGAGGCTCATGGGTATTGTAGTATTTAGAGAGAGGGAAAAAAAGGCGATTAGAAGAGGAAGTGTGTGTGTGTGTGTGTGTGTGTGTGTGTGTGTGTGTGTGTTGGACAGTAGAAACCAGCAGAACATGTTTATTTTATTGGTCGTTGGGGTTAAAGTGTGCTGCTGCTGTTGCTAGCACGTTAGCTTGTGTTAGCTCTGCTCTGTGTCATTCACATTAACAGGCTAACATGCTGACATGCTAACGCTGGCCTCATTCAGATCAATGGAGCTGCACTTCCTGTTCTGGAAACAAACCGAGATCAATGTGTCGCCTGAGGCACACACACACACACACACACACACACACATACAGACAGTACATGTATTGATATACTAGTGAGCACCACCTTTTATTTCTGTCTGAGTTTGGGACCTACAAAGTGAGGACAGTTTTTACAGAGATGTATTTCTAGGACCAAAATGTCCTCACAGTGAAGGTGTGACACCTTGTGAGGACCTTCATGTGTCAGTATAACCTTACATGCACCTTTTGCACCTTTTTTTAAACACACATTGAGACTTTGTCAGAAGTGTCCTCACAGTGCGGGTCCGGTCCTCACATGGATTTATGAACAAACATAACTATTGATAGTCTTGTGATTTGTTTGGACTGTCTTGTAACTTGTGAGGGCAGATACGTTTGTTATAGGTGTTTGTAGGGACCAGTGTGACTGTCCACCAGCACAGTGGAGACATGTCCTATACCATGTCCTCCCAGTGCAGGTCAGAGCCTCCATGTTGGTCCTCATGAAGATACCAAAACAGAACCAGTCAACAGAAGCACATTTACGCTGCATTAGACACACAAACACGGACACACATCAGGCGTGTGTGGAGAGGGAGGCGCATTTGATGTTGATGAGTGGTGACCGAGCATTGATCTGCTCAGAGAGGAAGGGTGACGGCAGTGACAGGGTCCAGTTGTGGTTGTGGCGTCGTGGTTGGAGGTTGGCGGGCGACCGGCGGGTGTCTGTGTCGTTTTCTAACTCCTCTTCTGCCGGCAGGACTGACAGACGATAGAGAGGAAGGAAGTAGGGCCCAGGATGACGAGTGCGGCCCCGGCCAGGAAGCCGTACCGTAAGGCTCCGCCGCAGCACCGTGAGATCCGCCACACCCTGCCCGTTGCTCCACCTCCACCTGCGCCGCAGCCCGACATAAATCAGGTAAACCAACACACTGTAAACACACCTTTAAGCTCCCTGCAGCACCTCCCCCACCTCCCCGCCACCAATGCCTCTAAACGGCTGCAGTGCGGGTCACGGCATGGCATCCCGACCAAGCCGCTCCCGCTCTCTGACAGCGAGCTGGACATCTCCAGCCTGTCCAGCCTGGAGCTCTGCATCCCGCCGCCACCGCTCTTCAGTAGCCACCGGCCCGGCCGCACCAGGACCACAGCAGTGGGCGTCACCACAAGTCCTCGCCGTGCAGCAGGTCACTCCATCAGCGGTGGTTCCACAGCGGCCAGAAAACCCTCCCCCACCCGGGGACCCAGAGGAGACCGCCACAGCCGGACGCAGAGGACGCAGAGTGCCGCGCCTCCAAAGAGCATCCTGAAGCAGCCAGCCTCGCTCGGTGTGGAACACGCCTACGACATCATCCGGAAGTCAAAGTCAGTGGAGCTGCTGGATGACAGCAGGGGGCGGAGCGGCTCCAACGCCCACCCACCCACTCGCTCTCTGGACCGGTCGGACCAGCGGGTGTCAGCGTCGCGGCGGTCGTCGGACCCGCCCTCCCCCTGCAGGAGCGACTGGAACTGGAGGATGCAGGTTCTTGAGGAGAAGGTCCGCTTCTCCAACTTCCTGGATGAGATTACGTATCAGGTCCTAAGCCCCGCCCACCTCACGCTGCTTGGCAGGACACCCTCCAGTGAGCAAGGAAGCCCTGCCCCTCAGCGCCGCCGCCGCCCAGCCCACAGGAAGCAGCAAGCAGAGGGGACATCTGCTGACCGGACTAAGCGCTGGGACGACTGGGTGGCGGTGATGCAGCGGCCCGGTGGGTGGTACCAGCCCCTGCAGGAGGAGCGGGTGGGGCAGGAGACCCCTCGACAACAGGGTGACATCACAGAGAGGGCGGGGCCTAAAGAGGAGGTGCTGAAGGTAAATAGAGGAGTAAAGATGGAGGGGCAGGAGAAGGAGGAGCCACAGAGACACAAACACAGACCTCCTTCTAATCAGGCTCTCCTGTCCCACATCAAGGTAAGTGAGAGGAGGGGCAGGGCTCCTCCTCATCATGCTCCCCCTCCTCCTCGTTATGCCCCCTCTCCTCATTCTGCCCCTCCCCTCCTCCTTCAGCTCCTCCCTTCTCCTCCTCCCATTATGTTTTTTTATCATGAGGAGTCTTTAAGTTTGAGTTTTTGGATCAGTTGTGGGCTGGTTGTCTCAGACTCACCCCTCCTGCCCCTCCTCTTCCTCCTCCTTCTGCTCCTCTTCCTCATCCTGTCTTGCTCCATATGAACTTATTTTTCTTCATGAAAAGTCCTAATTTTGACTTTTTGGATTCGTTGTGTGCTGGTCTCCTCATACTAACTCCTCTTCCTCCTCCTCCTTTCTGTAGCGATGATGCTAAGCTAAAGAAGGAGCCTGATCATTTATTTTAATTATTATTTAAGTAATTATATTTGTTTATTTGTCCCGTCTGATTACCGGACGCGTTGTGGGAGGAGCCAACTTTTGTTTTATGAATATTCACTGGTTAGTTTCAGGTTATTGGACGTCAGCAGAAAGAAGTGAAGCTGAGCTCGTTACTGAAACATATCGAAGCTTTAACATGTTTGTTTGTTTATTCTGGAGAGTTTTATATTTAATGAACTGAACAATTAAAGAGACTTGAGTCAGACTAGATGAGATCAGAAAGCTTTATTGTCTGTATATAGAAATATAACAGGTGCTGCTCCTTTGATCTCAGTACGATACATAACAACATAAAGCAGATAACAAACATGACGTCAACATGTCACATACACAGCAATGAATAAAACAGTGCTGAAGGAGATTTAGAAATAAAGAAGTAAAACCAGCAGTCGGTTGATTGCACATTACTTGTATTGCACATATTATGGCCTGTTTAGAGTTCTTCTGGCCCAGGGAAAGAAGCTGTTTGTCAGTCTGGTGGTCGGGGCTTTGATTGACCTGTAGCGCCTGCCTGAGGGCAACAGGTCAAACAGATGATGTGCTGGTGATGAGAGTCCTTGAGGATGGAACTGGTCCTGCTGAGGCATCGGGAGCTGGAGATCTCCTCCAAGGAGGGCAAAGGACAGCCAATGATGTGACCAATGTTCACAGTGAAACTGCAGCGTCACAGCTGGGTTTCTACCTTCATCACGTTATTACTGTTGAGTCGTCTCAGGAGAAAAAACCTGAAAAGTTTCACAGTAATTACTCTGATTAATTTGATTAAACTCTGATTAAAAACTGAGAATTTCAGAAAGTTGACAAACTGTTTTGATGATTCAAGTGTGGAGTCTGAACTGTGGAGTCAATTCAGCAAAATCAAAAATGATCTGAACTTTATTTTTCTTTAAATGTTGCTAAATCTAAAAATCTTTATTAATTCCTGAGTGAAATAATTTTGACAGACGAACAGAAACGGAAGGATGAATCTGACGTCTCCTCCTCAGTGATGGTCCAGTCATGTCCTGCTCTCTGTGAAGACGAAATTTAACTCTGAATTGATTTAATTACTTTAAGTTGGTGGAGCCAGTTTTCTGGAAATAGCAAAAAGAAATAGCAGAATTTAAATAAGAAGACTCCCTCCTCCTCCTCCTTGTTTTTCTCTGTCCTAAGGCCCGCCCACCAGACAACTACGGCCATTCAAACAGCACCCTCGATGTTTCCACACTTTGATTTAATTCATCTTACTTCATTCATCAGACCACAGATCAGATAAGAATTAGCTGTTAGCTGCTCCCCGCCCCCTTCGCCTCGCTCCCCGCCGCTGCAGATGGCTTCCCCAGGAGGAGGGCGGGCAGCAGCTCCACAGACGGACCCTCAGTTGGCGGCTGTAGCAGCTTGACTCCGGTCAGCACAAACCCCACAGTGCACAAATGTTTCATATGTTATCCTACGAAAAGCAATGCACCCAAATTCGTACATGTCCCACATATTTTGAAAGGCTGCGATCATGTGACCAATGTGCTGACTGCAGTAAACAAGGAAACAGTTCGAGCACTTGTAAGGAGGCAGGTTGGGATTTGGGATAGGTCACAAAAAAAAAACGGACTTTCACTCTTGACGCATTTGCCGCTTGTGTGTTTTGGCTATAACCTGTGTAACAGCAGCAACAGAAAGTGGAGGACACACTGTTATTTGAGGCTGTAGCTAACGTTAGCTACATAAACATGAAGCTGCAGCAGTGAGCGTTTGGCTCCTGTTAGCTGAAGGCTAAACTGTTAGCAACATTCTCTGAAACTCTTTACTGATACTGACACTGTTTTATTTAGTTTATTGTCAGAATCGTTTTGACCAGTCTGTCTTTCACTGAAGGGAAGTTCACGCTCATCAGCCAATAGGAACGGGGCAGCCCTACTCAGAGGTCATTATGGGATTTTTGACTAGTGACGTCAAAAATAAAATGGCTTTAATGAGCTGAGGTCTGAGAACAGGCGGCCCGTCACAAACTATTTAAACCTCAGTGTGACATCAGCAGGGAGTTTTCTAACACCACTGATCATTAATAAAAAATCATAAAGACCGACTGTTTATCTTTCCGTGAATTCGTTTCAGTGTCACTTTGACTTTTTGATTTTACACTGTAAAGTGTCTGAGCAGACGTTGGGACTGACTCCAGAGACACTCAGAGTCACCAAACTCCATTCAGAAATCAGCCAATTTAAGTGTTTGTGTTTCAGGACAAGCTCTGCATTCTCGCTCAACGTTAAAGTCATAAATCCAGATTAAAGATGTCCTCATATTTCCTCTGAATTACCCAGAATGCAGCGGTACAAAGGCCAGGAGATGAATTTATTGTCATCCTTATATGCTCAGGTATTGATCACCAATAATCAGGAAACTGATAAATAACAGATCATCAGAGAACCTGCAGGAACCTGCAGCTGCAGAATGCAGCGATCTGATTGGCCTTTTAGCTGCTGAGTCATTGATTTTATGGCTCTGCAGGCGATCGATCAGTTGAGAGGATCCATCATGTAAAACCCCACTGCATGCTGGGAGAGGACGTGTTTCCATACGTCGACAGGGGTCGATGAGACACACGATAAAGACACAGGAAACATTCGTCCGTCTCTGTGATGTCATCTCATTGATGTTTACTGACCCGATGTCGCTGATTGATCACATGGCAGTCATGTGATCAATCATGTAGAGCAGTGGTCCTTGAAAATTCCTGAAAACCAGTTAACAGAGACACACGTCATGGGAAACAGCAAGAACGGTTTTAGTTCCAATCAGGTTGTTGGACGTTGAGTGGATCAGTGCTCACAGCTAAAGATCCAGTTACAGTTTGTCACCGTCATCAGGCTCCGCCTCCAGCAGCTCCGCCTCTAGCGGCGCCGCAGGTGAAAACTGGATGCAGTGATGAAGACGTGTTCCCACCTTATGTCTTCCTGTTCAGTTCAGACATATATATATATATATATATATATA